GCAGACGCCTGTCAGCTGCCTCCCGGCGCCGCCCGCGCCGCTCCCATTGTCACCGCCTCGTACGCCGGAAGTGGAGCTGCGCGCGCCCGGGAGGTCGTCGGGAGGGGCGGAGGCGCGACGCGAGCCGCGAGCCCTGGGAGGAGAGGCTCGTAGCCCCGACGAGCGAGGAAGCGTGTCCCTTCCGGGCCACCGTCCCGGAAGTGGGCTTTAGAGGGCGGGATTGGTGGGCTTGCTGGGTGTTCAGTGAGTTTCTCAAGCTTGTAGGGGCTGATGCTCGCAGCATTTCGTGAGGCAAGCCTTGGCTTGGACAGTTTGGTCCTCCTCGCAGAAGCTAGCTTTTCCTAGAGCCTTGTGGGTGGCGGGGGCAGATGGTGGCTCAAGATGCGCCTCGGGCCTTCTAGGAAGGGTCTGTAGGAGAAGGCCCGTCTGGGTTCTCCGCGGCGACGACCTGACCTGTGAGCTGATTCTTTAGTGACCCATCATGGCCCAGCGAGCAGTGTGGCTCGTAAGCCACGAACCGAGAACTCCAGTGTGTGGCACAGTCAGATTCTCCAGGTAAATGCCAGTCAAAAACAGTGACGATGGGCCGGAGAGAAAATACCGACATAAAATTGTAGCATCGTTTTGCGAGGCAGTATACCCTAGTGTGCCGCTGCAACGTAGCCTTTATTCCGCGAACATTTTAATAATACTGCCTCGTAATGTGAAAACGAAACGAGTTGATGCCTGCCATGTATGTTGTTTTTGGTATTATTGTCTTATGAACTCCACCTGTTAGGGTTGGTACGAAGATGAGAGAGGGAGAGGGGACTCCCCGAAAATGGACCGTTTCAAATTTCTGCCTTCACTTCGTTCGAGGACGTTTGAACTAGTTCAGGAAAACTTTTACAGAGCAGTATCAGACTACCACTACCATCTTGTTTCATTGCTGGAATTATTTCATATTATGTGCATTGATGTCCCAATTTTGAAGAAAATAATAGAAGTGAAAAAAGTTAAATTGTATTCACTTTTTCTTAGATGCTGTAAATAGATCTGGTCCCACTTTTAGAATTTGCCCTTGATTTTTTTTTAAGTCCTATGTTAGCCACATACCACTTTGAAGAGAATTATATAGCAGTAACTCATTGCAAACTATGGGTGGTAATTGAACTTTGTATTTCATTTTTATTCTCACTGAAGGAAGCCCCAGAGAGAAGTGTAGCACTGAATTGAGATTAAGACAGATAAAGATGAGTGTTATTTATGTAAAAAGTGATTGACAGTGT